CACATGGCAGCTTACAGCCAGCTGTAACTCCAGTTCAGGGGATCTGACACCTTCTTCTGTATGAGGTGCACAGACTACCTACATGCAGGCAATACATTCATACACATAAATAAAACTTTAAAAAAAGGAAAATAAATACAAGTAAATGTCATGGACCTCAGAAAGAAACCCTCACATACATGATCAAATGGTTTTTTTCTTACACAGGTGTTAAAAAATCAGGAAAGGACACCTCTTGAAAAATGGTGCTAGGAAACTGTGCAACCTACCCCCGTGCGAGTGTGTGTGTGTGTGTGTGTGTGTGCACCAGTGATACACTGTTCTGATTATTCTAGAATATTACGATTTGATGTCAGGAAGCATTATTTTTTCATGTATTCATTTACTCATTCGTTGTGCTGTCACAGTGGAATCGTTTTCTTAGTAGTTTCTGAGGTGCTCCCTGTTCGTCTGTAGAAGACTCTTATCTGTTGCTTTTGTAGGCTGCAGCTTTGCTGAATCCAGTTCTTGGTTATCCTGATTTTCTTAGAAATCCTTAGGGATTCCCACGTCTGAGGTCTTGTCATCTATGAGGGATTTTCTTCCTCTCCAGTGTGGGTGTCAATGTTCTGTCCCAGTTGCTTGGGCTACAGGGTCCAGTACTGTGTGCTACCGAAGTGACAAAAGCCTGTGCCTTTATCTTGATCCTGACCATGGGGAAAGCTTTCAGTCACTCAGTTTGTGAGCTGGTGACTTTTCATGTATGGCCTTTAGTATCTGGGGGAAGTTTTCTTCTATCTGATACTTTATTTTTCTCACAAAAAAATACTGACTCGTCAGATACTTTTTCAGTATCATCAGAGATAATCATGCGGTGTTTCTCCTTTATTCTGTGAATGTGGAATATTAGCATATTAACATTGAATTTTGTGTATTGAACCATCCTTCTGTTCTGGCAATAGATTTCATTCACTTGGTCGTCATCTATAATCCTTGCGATGTGTTATTGACTTTGTTTTGCATCAGATTTCATCAGTGATACAGAGCTGAGGTTTTCATGTGATGCCTTAAGTCTGGCTTTGGTTTCCCTGAGAATGGCTTTAGATGTTGCTTAGATAGAGCTTGCTTTTGTTCTTCAGTGGCTTGAGTATCATTAGAAGCTGAGTCCCAGTCTTGGTGGTGTTAGGAGGTGGTATGGAACATTTAAGAGGTGTGACCTGGGAGGTCCTTAGGGCATTTGGGGCTGTGCCCTCAGAAGGAACTGAGAGACCATCGTGTCTATCTGGTTCTCTCTGAACACATTCCTGCCTCTGTTGTGCTGTGTGCTATGAGGCCGTCACCAGAGCTAGGCTGTTGCTGGCTCCATGCCCTTGAATCTGTATAACTGTGAGTTAATAAACCACTTTGGGGGGCTGGAGAGATGACCCAGCAGTTTAGAGCACTGGTTGCTCTAGGTTTGTTTTCCAACACCATGTGATGGCTCACAACTCTTCACAGCTCCAGTTCCGGGCAATAGGACATCCTCTTCTGGCCTCCACATGCAGTAGGCACACATGTGGTGCGGATACACAGGCATTTGAATATTTTTATTTAAAAAATAAAAGTTAAAAAAATTTATGAGATTATTACATTATTTCTCCCTTCCCTTTCCTCCCTCCAAGTCCTCCTATATACCCCTTCTTGCTCTTTCAAATTCACGGCCTCTTTTTTAAATTGTTGTTACATGCATATATGCTTATACATATATATTCCTAAACCTTCTCAGTCTGTATAATGTTACTTGTAGGTATGTTTTCAGGACCTGGCTATTTGGTATTGTGTAACTAATTGATATAAAAGTATTTTAAACTAAAAATGAAACAGCTTTTCTCTACAGAGTTACCCAGCCTTAAGAATTTTGTTGTAACAAAACACTAATGGAAAATAGTCTTTTTCAGTTCTGGGTGTTTGTGAGTGAATGGTGTCAGTTACTTAAGGATGTGATAGAACTCATCAATGAAGCCATCTGCTTCTCTACTTTTCTTTGTTGGGAGTTTTATTGGTGATCCAAACTCCTAACTCTCTGAAATTTGTATTTATTGAGTTTTGGTGAATTGTGATTATAGGGATTAATTTCATCTAGGTCATACAGTGTTCTCCTCACACAGTCCTTTTTATTCCTGTAAAGTCAGCTGCACTGGCCACTCTGTGATTTCTGGCTCTCTCACTTTAATTTGCCCTCTTTTTTTGCCGGTGTACCTGAAGGTTTGTTGATAGTCACAAGGAGCAAACTGTTTGTAATCTCTGTTTCTCTGGTCTATTAATTCGATTATGTATGCTCTCATGTTTATCATTTCTATTTCTGCCAGCTTCTGTTTCTTTCTTTCCCTACTATGAAGAGTTAGGTTGATTTGAGATCATTCTTCAATGTGTCATGGCTGTGACCATCCCACATAGGAATGTCATATTCTCTCCTGTATATGTTGGTGCTTGAAGAGATTTTCTAATATTCTTTGAAAATTGGGTAGTTTGAATTTATTATATTTTGGTGTTTTTTTTTTTTTTTAAATTATGTATTTTGTATGTGTGAGTGCTCTGTCCCCCTATACACTTGCAGGCCAGAAGAGGGCACCAGATCCCATTTCAGATGGTTGTGAGCCACCATGTGGTTGCTGGGAATTGAACTCAGTACCTCAGGGGAGGGAGGGGAGAGCAGCTAGTGCTCATAACTGCTGAGCTGTCTCTCCAGCCCCTATATTTTGGTTCTTGAATGTCCCTGAAAGCTTATGTTGAAGGCTTGCCTGGTCCTGTGTCCACACTACTGGGAGGTGGTAAAACCTTTAGGAGATGGTCCCTGGTGGAAGGGCGTCAGGTCACCGGGGGTGTGCTTTTGAAGGGAATATTGGGAACTGAGCCCTTCCCTCTCTTTATTTCTAGCTTCTTTAAAGTCCACTGCTGTCTTCTGCTGTGTGCTTTCACCTTGCATACTGTACTCCACAGGCCCAGGGCAGCATGTGGACTGAAACTGCTGACGCTGAGGAATGCGAGCCTCCCTCAGGTTGTTCTGGGCATTTGTTCCCGTGCCGGGAAGCGACTCAGTGTGTGCTTAGTTTATACTTTCGTATCTACCTTCAGTCCACTGTTACAGACACTGTATGGTTTCAGTCTTCTTGAACCTGGTAAGATCTATGGTCTACTGGGACTAGAGAGATGGCTCAGACCTCTTCCAGAGGTCCTGAGTTCAATTCCTAGCAACCACATGGTAGCTCACAACCATCTATAATGAGATTTGGTGCCCTCCACACCAGAACACTGTATACATAATAAATAAATCTTAAAAAAAATTTATGGTCTACCATGATTTGTTCTGGAAAATGACCTGGTTGCATTTGAGAAAACTATTCCGTTATTATTAGGAGTAGCTTGGTTCCAGTTCATTTGCAGCCCATTTCCTTATTGATCGGTCTAGTGACTATGCATGACCTAAAGAAAGATGCTGAAGCGTCTACTTTTACTGTGGTGACCTCTCCCTGTGGATCTCCCTGTTGGTGTTTGCATCTTAGGTTTAGGCATGCTGACAATTGATGCACATGCGACATCTGTCACAGCTTAGAGAATGGACCCTTCTGCCATTATGGAATGTTATTGCCTCTTCATAATTCTGACTGGGGAGGGCTCTACAAACAACAGACAAAAACAGGCACATTTTGGCCACTGTTTCTGTGGATGATCTTCTTCCATCCACTGTACGTGTCTGTAGAGCTAAAATTAGTTACCTACGGGCAGAATATAGTTGGATCATGTTCTATTTTAATCCATCTTTTCCAACTCGCACATTTTCAGTTGCTTAGCCCCTGTAGTTAATTACTGATAAGGACAGACTTCTCACTGACATTTTGCTGTTTTCAGTATGTCTTGTTTTTGTCTCACGTCCTTTAGTTTTCCTTCGTCTCTCATTTATGTTCTATAGCTATTTTATCACTGGTATGCTTTATGATCTAGCCATAAAGTTAAAGGAATCCATTTGAAGCGGTAAATTAACCTCATTATTTGCAAACTACACCCTTTACATCTGTCTCTTCTGCTGATGCCACCCTTTGCTCAGATCTACAGCACTCACTCATCTGGGGTACTGGGGATTGTACCCATGGAGTTGCTACTTGGTGGAGTGTGGCTTTTGCTTGATGGGTAACAACACTCTTGCTGCCTCCTTGGTTTCTAGAGTTCACCAAGTGACTCTGTCTATGCTGTTTGAGTGCTAGAAGATGGGCCTGGAGCTTCCTAAGTGGCCATATTGATAACATCACTCTTAGACTTTGTCTGCTGGTAGTTTAAGGAAAGTGTGTGTGCAGATTTTGAGGCTCGCTCTTGGATTTCCCATCTGGAAGTCTGCAGTATTGTGTCAGTTCTGATCTCTGTCTTCAGTCCCTTAGGACTCCACTGTACACCATACACTGGAAAGTCCTGTCAGAAAGCCGGTTTAATATGCAGCACTTACCTCAAAGGATCAGATCACATGCAGATTCTGCTACTAAAAATCCTTATGTATTTTAAGTTCTGTCAAGTTTAGATTTCTTAGAATTCAGTTATTTTTTAATACATTTTGAAAAATCTTTTTTTAAAGATTTATTTATTCATGTATTTTATGTATACACCAGAAGAAGGAATCTGATCTCATTTACAGATGGTTGTGAGCCACCATGTGGTTGCTGGGAATTGAACTCAGGACCTCTGGAAGAACAGTGAAGTGCTCTTAACCACTGAGCATCTCTCCAGCCCGAAAATTTTTTTTTTTTTTTTTTTTTTTGGTTTTTTTCGAGACAGGGTTTCTCTGTGTAGCTTTGCGCCTTTCCTGGAACTCGCTTTGGAGACCAGGCTGGCCTCGAACTCACAGAGATCCTCCTGGCTCTGCCTCCCGAGTGCTGGGATTAAAGGCGTGCGCCACCACCGCCCGGCCCGAAAAATCTTTTAATAAGGGAGCTGTGATTAAGTTATTTAGTAAAGAACAATCTTATATTTCAACTAATTTTTTTCTTTTGTAGGATATTGCAAATGAAGACCACCAAAAAATAGAAGTGTTAAAATCAGAAAACAAGAGGCTAGAAAGACAAAAAGGAGAATTAATGATAGGATTCAAGAAACAATTGAAGTTAATTGACATTTTGAAAAGGCAGAAGGTGAGTCTAACAACAGAAGCTGTATCAGATATGCTACAGACCTTCCCACTATAGAGTATAGGCCTTTACTTCCTTTGCAATGTTACACACAAAATTGTACCTAAAGATGCACTATATACATATAAAGTCACACATGCGTAATACATAGTGAGCTGCACTGGTTTAAAAATGTATTTTAATATATTAAATTTATATATATTTATGTGTGCATGTATATATATATATGTGTGTGTGTGTGTGTGTGTGTGTGTGTGTATAAAAATACAGTCCTTCCCAAGTACAGAAAGTATCATACATGAGAATGACTCATTTTAGTGGATCATTTCCCTCTTCAAACTTTGAACAGTAATTCCAAGCCACATTGTACCTTTCTTGAAACATGACAAAAGACAATTGACACAGTTCTCTCACTTTCTTGTTTCAAAAGATCAGATAATTGGGGCTGGAGAGATGGCTCAGAGGTTAAGAGCACTGGCTGATCTTCTAGAGGTCCTGAGTTCAATTCCCAGCAACCACATGGTGGCTTACAACCGTCTATAATGAGATCTGGTGCCCTCTTCTGGCCTGCAGGCAGAACACTGTATACATAATAAATAAATAAACCTTTAAAAAAAAGATCAGATAAAATAGTAATTGAATTATTCTTTCAATAGTAGTTTGGTCTTGAGTGTAATGCCCATTTAAAATGTTACACTTGCGCTGGGTATGGTGGAGCACGCCTGTAATCCCAGCACTCGGGAGGCAGAGGCAGGTGGATCTCTGTGAGTTCCAGGACAGCCTGGTCTACAGAGTGAGTTCCAGGACAGCCAGGGCTGTTATACAGAGAAACCCTGTCTCGAAAAACCAAAACAAAACAAAGAAACAAAAACAAAAATATACTTGCATAATTAGAGTATGTGTTCCAACAATGGGGCTTGTTTACTGATAGCATGTTAACACAAATTTCCTGTGGTGTGGCTTCCTCTGAATCAGACATTATTGATGTTTTTAACAGATGCATATTGAAGCTGCGAAGATGCTGTCTTTCAGTGAGGAGGAGTTCATGAAAGCTCTTGAGTGGGGCAGCTCATGAGGGAGCAATTTTAATTTGATGCTTGTTTGTGACAGTTTATTCAACATGAAATCGTAGTGCTTCTTTACCATTCATAAGTAATGAAAATATTTGTGAAATAAAAAGTCCAGGTATGGACTTGCTGAACTGAACAGTTTGGAAGGACATTCTGAGGTAAAGCCAGACTGTAACACTGGCTTTACTTCCTTTTTCTTTAATAGTTGTAACATAAAGAAACAAGATTTTGTCTTGAAAAATAAAAAAATAATAAAAAAGAAGCAAAATTTTGACTCTTAATTCTTTTTTACAACCTACCAGACCTGACAGAGGACAGAGCAAGACGGCAGGACAAGACCCCAGAGATTCCCCACCTCGGCTACTGAGGTCTGCCTATTAGTCAAGGCTGCTGCATTCTAACAGCATTCAAACAGGCCGGAACTCATGTCTGTCTTGAGGGCCCTGTGTTCACATTTTCAGTAATCATGACACACAGAGATACCTTGAAAAGAGGGGTAACAGCTAGGTGAGAAGTGACAGCACCTAGTGACAGCAAAAGAAACTTTATTGAGGAGGACAAGGGCAGTTTTCCCTTCCTCTAGCACAGCAGAGAGAGAGAGACACAGAGGGACAGACAGGGCAAAGAGACTTCATTGGTCTCCAGCCCTGGGCCATGACAGTAAAACCCAGCCAGCTCTTAGCCCTAGACCAGTAAATATGCCTGCCCTGGTGCTAAAATGGAACCCATGGTTCCTGCAAGACAGACTGAAGTTCCAGCCCACATCACTGTGGCCGACTGCAGCAGCCTTGCATTGTATATGAACTTAGAACCTCCATGACTGGCGGGCCTCAGCTGTGTGCCGTCCAGTTCCCAACCCCATCCCGGGTGCTGCACCAGTGAAGATGGCCATGGCATTGTAGTCCACACTGAACTAGCTGTGGGGACCTTGGGCTTGAGGCACGCTGGTGCTGCACTGGCTGCAGGGAATGGGGACGGAGACAAGAGCACCTGGACATTCTAGGCCAAAGCCAGGCTGCAAAGCCTGAGTAAGTGCCTGCTTTCTCAATGCATGGACGGTGATGTCTACTCACAGGGTTTAAAAATGGCACCATATAAACTAAGGTGCCAGTGACTGACTCCAAGGTGATGAACATATACAAACTGTCTGATGATTCAAATGAGCTTTTTCTCTAAAAATGAAAATTCAGTGAACAAAATGAAAATGAGGTAGAGCATCAACTGTCACCAGAAGGATCTGTCACCCTGGAGACGGGCAATATGGAGGGGTCGGGAGAGGAAAGAGGAGTACAGCTTCACCAGTAAACACAGGAGAAGCTGGCACATGGAAAGGATGGGAGAATAAGGGGAGCGGTTTAAGAGACAACGCTTTCTAGATTGGAAGATAAACTATTCAGGTGCAGGAAGATCGAAGGCTGATAATGACTTCATCAACGTAGGACTAGCCCATGGCGTAGTCTCAGCCTGTCAAAGACAGACAACACATCCTAAAAGCACCAAGAGCAAAGAGACTGGATCCCATCTGAAGGAGTTGGACACCTGGCAGCTCATGTCTCTCAGAACCCTGGAAGGCAGTAAGAGGGTGGAGTGAGATATCCAAAGCTCTGAAGGACAAAACCTGCCGAGAATAGTGAACCCAGCTCAGCCACCCTTCAGAGATAGACAGGTAACATCTTCTCAGACTAGCCCGTGTGAGTCCATCACCACCAGACCTGCCTGGTGAAGAGGTTCTTCAAGCTGAAAGAAGGGATGCTAATGAGCAGCATGGATGAGACAGAGCCCACTTGTAGTAAGTAGTTCAATTCAGTCAAACTGAGAGCATGCTAACGCTGATGGAGGCCTGAAATCACTCTCATCTTTAATAAGTTGGAAGTGTTGAAAAAAAAACTGGCGACAGTCTGGTCAAGGGTATACAATATAAAAGATGTAACTGAACCACAAACAAAGAGAACAGAAGAAATACATGGTGCTTTTTTGTAATTAGAGATAAAGTTACCAGCACAAAATAACACGAACTTGTAAGGGATATATATGGGTAAAAAGCAATAAACTTAACATATCAGAGAAACATCTGTAAACTCTGAAGAAAGCAAGAGGAAGAAGAGAGTCAGTGAAGCAGGTGGGCAACCACAGAGCAGCAAAAGCAGCCGAAGCTCCAGCACTACCTTCGTCTGAGTGCATGACGTTCTCCAGTGACGGAGCTGGGGTTAGGCAAGGTTGCTATTGCCGAGACCAAACACCGGGACCAGAAAACAAGTTGGGGAGGGAAGGGTTTATTCAGCTTACACTTCCTCATTGCTGTTCTAACTGAAGGAAGTCAGGACAGGAACTCAAACAGGGCAGGAGCCTGGAGGCAGGAGCTGATATAGAGGCCTTGGAGGAGTGCTGCCGACTGGCTTGTTCATCGTGGTTTTCTAAGGCTGCTTTCTTATAGGGCCCAAGACCAACAGCCTAGGGGTGGCCCCACTCTCCATCAATTACTAATTAAAGAAGTGCCCTACTGCTGAGTCTCATGGAGGCATTTTCTCAACTGAGGCTCCTTCCTCTCTGATGGTTCTAGCCTGTGTCAGATGGACACACAAACCCAGCCAGTGTATAGAGTGACTAAAATTCATATGATGCCTCTGAAAGACTCATTTTACAGAACAGAGACTGGATGTGAAGAGATGGCAAAAAGATAGTCTGAATGGCTGTCAATCCCTGTGCTCAGGAGGCAGGGGCAGATAGATCTCAAGAGTTCGAGGTCAGCCTGGTCTACTAAGTGAGTTCAAGAACAGCCAGGGCTATTCAGAAAAACTGTCTCAAAAAATCAAAAAAAAAAAAAAAAAAAAAAAAGGAACCAAGAGAGACTGGGTACTTAAAATAGATATTAAGTCAAAAGCTATAAAAAGAGGCAAAGAAAACCTTACATAATGGCAAAAGGATTAAGTCATCAACAAGTAACAGTGGTGAGCATGCATCTACCAACAACAGAGCTAAAAGACCTAGACATCTGCAAAAAGGAGAGACCCACTGCAGTGTTACAATGGTAGAAGACAGTTATTACCCACAATCAGGGCAGGGCAGACAGAGGAACCCAAGAAACCCTGGACTTGGCCGTGGCTCTGAGTGCTTGCCTGGATGCACAAAGCCTGGAGTTCATCTCCAGCATCTCACCATCTAGTTTGGTGGTCCCCACCCGTGAGCCCATCAACAAGGGCAGACACAAGAGGGTAAGATGTTCAGATCATCTTCAGGCAAATAGCAAGTTCAAGGCCAGCCTGGGACATATAACATACTTGGTGTCCAAAAACCACAAAGAAACATACACACTGGACTTAATTTACACTTTAGCCTAAAGCCTAAAAAGACATAGAACACTCTCTCCAACAGCATAATACATACCTTCTCCAATGTACAGAACATCCTCCAGATCAGATCACATGTCTTAACAGATTTAAGAAGACACATTGTACCATGTGTCTTTCTGGACTATGATGGTATATAAAACAGACCAACAAGAGGAACTTCAAAACTTTACAAACACTTGCAAATTACAGACCATGTTCCCAAATAACCAGTGGGCTCATGAGAATACAGCAAATTTAAAATGTTTTACACAAAACGGGAATGCAACCAAATGCCTGTATAAGAAGAAAGTGTCATCTTAGCACTGCAGAAATGTCCAAGTAATGTACTGAAACCAAATCCAATCTGATCAGTACAAAAAAACCCAGGAAAGATCGAAGAAGAAATAAATTACAAAAATAAGAGGTCAAAAGTCAGATCCCAAATACTGAAGAATCTAGTTGTTTTTGTCACTAGTTTGACACTCTAGGTGTAAAATACCAACTCTGACTTCATGTGGCAGGTTGCAGGCAAAACAGGTTCACCAAAAGTAACGTGTAAAATTACCTCCAGGCTAGGAGAATAAGGCCCATTATTAAACAAAGGCCAGTGAAATAGGTCAGTAGAAAGGGCACCTGCCCCCAGACCTGCTGCCTTGATACAAGGGTCCCTGATCCCTGGGATGGGCCCCACGGTGGAAAGAGAACCAACTCCTGCAAGCTGTCCTCTGACTCGCAAATGCAACAGGACAAGCACAGGTCACATCCACACGCACAAATAATAAAGGATTAAGAATGAATGAAGAAATAAAAGGAATAATGCTAACTGGGCATGGTGGTGCATGCCCGAAACCCCAGTGTGCAGGAGGTAGAGGAAGGAGGGTCAGCAGTGGTGCTGCTCGGCAGGGAGCTCCATGCCAGTGTGGGGGATGTGAGTCACTGTCTCAGACAGATCAATGGATTTCACTTGTAGCGTTAGGTCTCATTCTCAATGGGGACACACCCATTGTACTGTATACAAAGGATCGTAAGAGTAATATAAATTATTATCTTGAATAATTCAGGTAACAGAAAGAATTAATTTCTGGAGATCTATAACCTACCAAGCATTAACTATAAGGAGACAGAAAATATGAACAGACCCACAGTGAGAAGGAGGTCAAGATGATCAAATCCATAATAAAAAGTCCCATTGGGACCGGGTCCTGTGCTCAGTGCATGAGTTGGCTGTTTGAAACCTGGGGCTTATGCAGGGTCGCTTGGCTCGGCCTGGGAGGAGGGGACTGGACCTGCCTGGACTCAGTCTACCAGGTTGATCTCAGTCCTCGGGGGAGGCTTTGCCCTGGAGGAGATGGGAATAGGGGGTAGACTGGGGGTAAGGGGAGGGGGGGGCGGGAGGGGGGAGAACAAAGGAATCCATGGCTGATATGTGGAACTGAATTATATTGTAAAATAAAATAAAATAAAATAAAATTTTTTAAAAAAGTCCCATTGGGAGCCAGAGAGCTGGCTCAGTGGTTGAGAACGGTGCTGCTACTGCAGAGGACCCAAGCTCAGTTCCCAGCACCCACATGGCAGGTCACAAGCACCAATTCCAGGGACTCGAGGCCCTTTTCTGACCTCCATGGACTCCTGCACAGACACGGGGCACATACATGCACACAGGGATATACAAACACATAAAATAAAAATAAATACTTAAAAAAAAAACTCCTCAAAGGAAAACCCAGGACCTGATGGCTTCACTGCTAACTTCTACCAAACATTTAGAAGACTATTCTAAAACACTGACATAAAGACTTTTCCAGGGGTTGGGGATTTAGCTCAGTGGTAGAGCGCTTGCCTACCAAGCACAAGGCCCTGGGTTCGGTCCTTAGCTCTGGAAAAAAAAAAAAAAAAAAGACTTTTCCAAATTAGAGTATGATCTCCCTGATTCCAAAACCACACAAGGGCAACAAACAAGTAAACAAAACCAACTCCCACAGTCTGATATCCCTGATCAACTCGGATGCAGAAATGCTCACCATGACCCTAGCAAACAACTTCCAACAGTGAATAAAAAACGAACTCACCATGATGAAGTGGGTTTCATCCTAGCTGATTCAACATTCAAATCAATAAAGATATGTCACAATGAGAGAATGAAGAAAGTTTGCAAATTCAGTAGAGCAGAAAAGCCCAAGACTGAACACCATTCACAACAAACACTGTCCACAAAGTAGGTTACAGAAGGAATATATTTCAACAGATGACAAACGAACATCCCAAGCAGGAAAACTTGAAGCTTATCCTTACATATTTGTGTATCTACAAAGTTCACCCTGGAGAACTGTGCAACAGAATTACAAATAAACACAAAAATTTTCATAGTATTGTAAATTTGCTATTTGTGTTGGGCTGTATTCATAGCTGTCCTGACCACAGGCCAGGCTGGCCACACCTGCAAGACCTGAAATCAGGCAGTGAAGAGCACTGGCTGCTTGCTCTTGCAGAGGACTCAAGTTTGGTTTCCAACACCCATAAGGTGGCTCACAATCATGTAACTCCAGTTCCAGGGGATATGATGCCCTCTTCTGGCCTTCTTGAGCACTGCATACATGTAGTACATATACATGTAGGCAAAAACATGTAAAATTTTTTTTTTTTTAATCATAGCAGAAGTGCCAGCAGGAGATAACAAGCCAGAGAAAGAAAAAATATGACTGGGAAGAAAAAGTTGAACTGTCCATTATCAAAAATCTTTCAGATCAAATCAACTGAGTAAAGTTACACGATATAAAACCAACACATAAGACTCAGAAGCAACAGTAGCAAAAATCACAGCTTGAGCTATAGCTCAGTGGTAGACCATATATAGAGCACATAAGAGACCCCAGGCTCAAGCCCTAGCATAACACACACAAGGGAAAGACGTGGCATTTTCATGCACAGATGGCCAAATGTGAAAGAAAATTTACAGTAATCCCATTTGTAATATCTAACAAAAACATTTAAGACTAAATTTAACCAATGAGATTAAAGATGTCTGTATTGAAAACTATAAAATATTGATGAAGGAAACTAGAGACAATAAATAGTCTTTATACAGACTGCCCAGAGAGGTCTATAATTAATGCAGTCCCTGTGGCAACACCCAGAGCCTTCTTCAGAAACAGGAAAAACAATTATGTAAGCCACACGGAACTACAAGAGCACACATCACCAAAGTGACCTTGAGAATACGAGCAACAGGCAAACCCCAGCTAATTCAAAGCCAGCTACAAGACGCTGCACTAACGAGGTGTCAGCCATGGAGGTAGAAAAGGGCAGGAAGCGCCCGCCACCATGTGGAACTAGGCAGGTTTTTGGTTTGGTTTGGTTTGGTTAAGATATGACACACAAAAGCAGTTATCACAAAGCTGCACAGCAAGGGAAACAACAGAGAGAGAGAGAGAGAGAGAGAGAGAGAGAGAGAGAGAGAGAGAGAGAGAGAGAGAGAGAGAGAGAGAGAGAGGGAACAGACCACAGAATAGGTTAAAAATGTTAAAATCCAAAACATGCGTGAGCCTAGCATGGTGGCGCACGCCTTTAATCCCAGTACCTGGGAGGCAGAGGCAGGCTGATCTTTGGGAGTTGCAGGGTGGCCAGAGCTACACAGAGACCTTGTCTCTGAAAAACAAAACAAAACCCAGAAAACCAACCATGTATGGATTCTAACTTAATAGCAAGGAGAGAGGGAGAGGGGAACCATGGGAGAGGGGGAGAAAGAGAAGGGAGAGGGAGAGAGATCAAGAGAACAAAAAGACCTAAATAGACATTTCTTGAAGACGTACAACCAACCACTAACATTCCTTTCAGGGAAATAAACAGTAAAACTACAATGAGCAAACACCTCAGCCAGATTAAAACAGCTTTATAGATGTGTGTGTATAAGCATATATATGCATGTATAGTACATAACATCACATATATGATATCACACACATATATGAGATAGGAACTGGAGAGATGGTTCAGCAGTTCTGAACACTGGCTGCTCTTGAAGATCCTCTACACCCACGTGGCAGCTCACAGCTGTCTCTAACTCCAGTTCAGGGCGATCTGACACCCTCTTCCGGCCTCCCTCAAGCACTGCATACATGTGATGTACATACAAACATGCAGACAAATCCCCATAAACACGAAATAAAAATAAAGGATAACAACTGTTTGAGAGGCTATGGAGAAAAAGGAACCACTACAGGCTCTTGGTGGGAATGGAATGAGTATACACACGTCATAGCAAACAGCCAGTATGCGGGTTTCTCATGAGAATAATCATTATCAGGAATATATAAATTTTAAAAAAGCAGTGTATTGAAGAGATATCTGTACTGTCATAAGGATGAATATACAGAAAAATCTCTGAACAATACTGGAAGCATTGACCAGTTACTTCTCTTGGCCGCTGTGGTTCTATGGAATTCTGCAACATGACAGCCTCGTAGAATGCACAATGAATACAAGTGACTGATTCTGCAGTTACAGTACTGATGTGTTTAATTGTTGTCTAACTGTGTATAAATGGTGAAACAGGAGGAGGTTTTAGAACATGCAGACAGACACCGGGACCTGTCACCAACTGTAAACAGCAGTTACACTGACATCTAGTGGTAGCCTCTGAAAAATCCAGGTCCCATCAGCTCCTGCTGATCATCACTTCTCTCCAACTTCATTCCTCTTCTGATACGCTTTCCTAAACTCTTCACCAAGCATGTCGACATCATCCTCTCTTTTAAACACTCCCTGCAAAAAAGCATTTTGTTGGTTACTTTTGAACGTGAGAGCATTTCACTGAATGCTCTTAGGGATAGCATGCGTGGACACAAAGCTAATAAATGAAATCCATCCAACAGGTGAATGAAGCTTAGTTTCCCAAGACTATGGCTCCACTGAGCTGCCCCAGCTCCTGACTGTCACCTTCAGAGTGGAGGGAGCGCAAGGGCACAGATCCGCAACTATGACTGCCTACACTGCCTGGAAGGAGCGAGCTTAGGGCCGCTCTGCTCCACCCTCGTCTAAACGAGCCGACGAGCTGTCGTAGTATATGCGGAGGGGTGGGAAGCGTGATTAGGCTGACCTAGGCTACATTACTGCATGGCTACATGCTTCCTGCCTCAGTTCGAAGCTCATTTTGGGACATTAAGTTTAACTCTAATAGGTCCTTTCTGCCTATTACTAAAAGGTTCTCTCACTAAAAGGTTGAAATCCAAAAGTTCTCTTAGCATTCATAGTCTGTTTTATTAAATATAGCAGTCATGGTGAGTTTTAACATCAATTTATCATTTTGTATTAAATCTACCTAGCTAATTAGACTGCAAGACCCTGTGGCCAGGAACTTTGAGTAATTTTTCTTCTCCTTTTCTTGGTTAGGGGCTAAAGACAAAACACATACTTGATACTGCACTGTCAATAATGACCTCAAACAATATGACTTGTATATTTGAAGGACTATGTATGGCTTTATGAAACTCCATGTTTATACGGACTAGAAAGCTCATTATTGGCAGTCACTGTGTCTCAGATACACATGAAAATCCACTGCTTTTCGGACTTACTCTCAAAAGTGGAGGCTGCCCAGTGCCTACCTACAGCACGGTCTTTAACAGGGAGGGCTTATCTCCGACTCAGGTCTATACATACTCATGTGTATCACCAATGACAAGGCTTCAATGTTTACCCTTATATAGTCGCTCTAGGGTAGTTTGTTTTTAGATGCCCCATGCACCAGGAGAACAAAGGGCCGTAAAAGTGTTAGCTCAGGGACTGAGGATGCAGCTCACTGGATAAAGCCCTAGTGTGTGCAGGCTCTGGGCTAGATCCCCAGCACCGAATAAGCTCAGCAAAGTAGCACAAGCCTGTAGTCCCAGCCCTCGGGAGGTAGAAGCAGGAGGACCAAAAGTTCAAGGTCATCCTCAGCTACATAGGGAGTTCCAGGCCAGGCTGCGAAAGACCTTGTCTCAAAAAGTAAGCAAGTAAGTAAGTAAGAAACAAAAGAAGTTCCATAACTCTGGCTCAGATAGCTAACAACGTTCCAAGACCAACCCTTATTATAGAGGTGTTTCAAAGGACTACAGGGCTTCAGCACTGGCCAGGACCTCACTGCTCCTTCAGAACAGCACGAAAGCACAGGAAGGCACACCCTCTGACATTCTAGCATCCATTATTATACGTCATGAGGATCACACACTAACGGAGTCTCACTCACTTTGGGGAGGTAGCCTAGCAGTTTCGTAGCATGCTCTTTGAGGAGTCTCAGCCTTTCTTCTTCAATGATCTGATTGATGCAGCCCTGCCGTCTCTGCTGGAGCTGTAATTCCTCCAGCTCGCGTTGCTGGAAAAGAAAGCAAAGTGTCTTTACTGTCACAAGACACATTAATCTCTTAGAAGTTTACACATGAAACTGTTCTTGCAGGGAACTAAATGATAATCCTGATGGGCTAATTGTAAGTTTAGAAGACAAGAGTGTATGTCTTTTACATAGATAAATATACATACCTGTAGTTTTTTAATAAAAAGATTGAATTCTTTTATTTTTATGTTTTATTTATTTATTTTACATCCTGGCTGCAGCCCCCCCCCCCCTTCCCAGTCCCTCTCCCTCAACCCTCTGTTCCCACCCTATCCACTCCTCCTCCATTTCTGTTTAGGAAAGCACAACACACCTGTATTGTCATCATCATTGCCCCGCCCACATTTTTCCTCTTTACTCAGTAGTAGGGTGTTTGTGCCCAGGGCCCTGCACCTGCTGGGCAAGACTCTACCACTGAGCTACAGTCCTAGCCCTTATGACAGCAAATTTTAAAGAGGCAAGTATGTATTTTTAGGAAAATTTTCAATCTCAAGAAAAAATGTATTCAAAGGAGCAATTTCCTAATAAATTCAGCAAACATTTATGGAGTTCCCACCATATACCAGGTACCCAGGATACTCAAAGCAGTTTACAGTGTAAGACAAAAAAAATAAAAATCCTAACGCACAAAAGAGACCAGGGTTGTCTGAGGATCTAGTTTTGCGAATTCAGGTGGGCAGCACACTGCAGAGGTCAGAGTCCCAGCATAGGAGCTCTGGTGCTTTTCTGGAGAATTCTGAACCTTTGAACACTCTGAGCCATACAATGCAGATGGGATGCTGTCTGCACAGTCTTAGGGCCCTTCGGGACACACAAGCCTTTCCCAAATAAGACTACTGAGCGGGATCTGCGGTGGTGGGAACGGAGCCTGGGTTTCATACAGGCTCCCTAAGAACTCTCCCCAGAGCCCAGCCCAGCCCCTCTTACTGCATTTTTACCAGACCGTGTAACCTCTCTAACTTGGGCACAACACAGGATTTCCTTTCTTGTGCGCTACCCCACACTAAGTGCTCATCCTTCTGTCGAATAATTCTACAGTAAGTTAGTGCATGAGGTTTAGAAAGGTGTGGGACAAGGTCTGAATAGATTGTGGTAAGAAACGCCTTAGGGAGTAGTTAGGATGTTGTCTAAACCACACACGTTCTTAGAGGGAGACAGGATTATAGACACCTACTTAGGCCTCTCTCTAAAATACAAATGGGCAGTTTACTGCTTTTAGGGCTACACAGTGTCATGAATTATTAAGTTCTGTAGTTAAGACATCCACATCTGCCCCTGGGCCAAAACAAAATTGTTGCTGTTTCCAAACCTAAGTCGTATACGTGTGTCACTGGGTGGCTTTAGTGATTTCCACACGGACATGTCTGGCTGGGTCATCTATGAGTGTTCTGATCAGCTCTGTAACCCTAGATATGCCGGTCCATCACTGGTCCTACCCTTTAACAGGAGAGAACTCAAGGCCTTCCAGTCAATTCCAAAGCGTTTTCCTTGTCTGCCTTCTTAATTACTGTGCTAACAGCTATTGCCTTCATTAACTCAACATCTATAAATATTTACCACGTGTCAGGCAAACTGCACTTATAGGTCATGATCTCCCTTAAAGGCTACATCCAGGCCAAGACTGATTTACACCAAGCCTAAGCAATAGAGGCTTTTATCTGATTAAGAGTCCACTGAGGCTTAAGTGTGAAAGGGACAGGAGAGTTATAAAAATCACTAACTGGCAGACTGACCAGTTAGTTACAAGGAGACCAAGCAGAAATGGCAGGAAGCAGGAGGGCCTGCTGGCCTCTTGGTTTTCTGTGATTACACCATTTCCAGTCTTTTAGCTTTTTGAACGTGTTTTTGGTTTTTCCTTCCTCCTCATCTTAAGCCACAGTGCTCTCCACAACTCAATCCTAAACCCCCGGATGCTTTCTCGTTATTAGACCAACATCTCACATAAACCTCTTCCTGCTGCTTAATCCCAGGTAAGCACTTCTTCAACAAACAAACCAAAACAACCCAAGCTTCCCTCTAAAAGGGAACTGCACAGGTGTCCTTGAGTTCGTCGTACTTGAAACCTTTGGATTATTCTGACTCCTTCCTTCCTTCCACCCTATATGCAAAGGGGAAATTATCACACAGTTTTATTGACTTTTTTAAAAAAAGAATATCCACATTCTCTCTGTCACCTCCTACTGCTGCTGTTCACAGTCCGTAGGTTAGGACTGCCACTTCTGGTATGCACAGCTCTGACTGTATGCCTAGGAAGCTTCATCTCTTAAAGTATGCACACATGACTATGTTAGGTTCCTCAAACATATCTGTTCAGTGACACATACCATCTGAGGAGTCTCTCAATTTTGTCAATGGAACATAAATATTTAAGTCAGTATGTCAAACTTACATTCTGTTCCCTGTACAACTTCTAAGTCTACATTTCTAACAATCAACCTCCTCTGGCCACAAAAATCAATGTGAATACATACTCTTCAAAATCTGCTCTTCCCTCTACATAATCTGTAGGACACGCCCTTCTCACTGAAGAGGGAAGTGACTGGACTTGTCATCACTAGCCCCTTCAGTCCTCACCTCTCCAGGTCTAACTGGTCCCCTCCTCATCAGTTCTGTGGGGCTGGCATCTGAGGGACCCTTCTCTGTTTGCACATACTACCGCTTCTCACTGAGACCCAGTGCATTGCTGACTGCTCTCCCCGATCCAGTATCAGCTCTTCTACATCTCCTCTCAATGCTGCCACGTGAGCCGCCCTTCTGCATGCCAGCCTTAACACGAGATCTTCCTAATTCTCCAGGGACTTCTCTGGGGGGAAACCCATCTTAATGTACGGAAGTATCCTAATGTGTAATTCCTCCCCGCTATACCAACACCTCCAAACCTTTGTCATCACACATGAAATATACTTGACTTTTAATTTTTCTCAACCAAGACTGTAAATTCATGGATGGCACAGATGTTGGTTCTCAGCACCAGCACATAAAAGCCTCAATAACCAGTTTCTAGATGCCTTAATAAATGATCACTCAGTAAACTTACAGATCATGTAAGACTAGTAAACAAATACCTAACATTATAGGACACGTAAATGGCTCGGTGGATAACGTGCTTGCCACACGAGCACGAGGACCTGAGTTCATATCCCCAGTGCTCAGGTGAAGTCAGGTGTGTGCAATTCCAGGTTCTGACAAAACGGAGGCAGCAATCCAAGAACCCCAGAAGCTGCGGGTGGGCCAGCCTCCAGGACACCTACAGTGGAACTGCTGAGACCTGCTTCACCTGAAGGGGAGGACCACAAGGGAGGCTGTGCTCAGCAAACGTTTACTGAGGACTAGAAGAGCTGGTTGCTGTTCAGTGAGACCCATAGACCCCAAGGCTTTTCTTACTTTGTCTGCAAGGAACTGGCTGCGCCGTTCCGCAATGAGTTTCTCCACCGCCCGTCTGTGCTCCAGCTGCTTCATCCGTTGTTTCTGGGCATTCATGAGCTCTATGCGGTCATCCTCAGCAAACTTAGCCAGCATGGCCTTTCTAAAGGTCTCTTCCTCCTCTTTGGCAGCCTGGAGTATTATTTCCTTCAGTGCCATTTGGTCCTCAAAGTTTTGCTTCATCTCCCTCTGCTTCCGCAGCTTCTGCTCCGCTTCCTCCTGCACAGTGATGGAGCCAGAGTTAAGGGTTTCCTTGCACCTTCGTGAGAGGGCAATCTCAGCACACAGAGGGCAGAAGCAGAAGGACCAGGGGCTTGAAGCCAGTCTGGGCTAGTGAGATGCTGTCTCAGGAAACAAGAAGACAAAAGAGAAGGGCAGATTTGGGTTTGATGCGCATTACAATACGAAATCACATAAACAGAATTAAGCCTTTTCATGACAACACTCTGTCCCACTTAAGACTATTTGAATAAAATGTCATGTTCTTTTAAAAAATTTATTTTTACTTATATGTGTGTGTCTGCACGTGCATACGCACATGTATGTGCGAGAGGCCCACTGAGGCCAGAAAAGGATGTGGGGTACCCCGGAACTGGAGTTACAAGTCCTTGGGTCCTCCAAGAGCGGCAGGTGCTCTAATCACTTAGTTCTATGGCATGGCAGTCATTTATTCTCAGATTTTAAGTTGTATATAGCTGCTGTCTTGTTTCTAAGCTCAGAATGAATGTGTAACTGCTTTGAGAGGACACACCCGAGTTTACTGGTCTTCTATCATCTGTCCACACACATTTTCCAGTTTGTAACTTCTTCCCTTTGTGAAATCAAAGCTGCATGTACTTACTTTAGTATTCCAACCCTCCTATCATTCTCAAAAAACAAACCTCCAAAACAGTTTAAAAAACCAGTTATCTAGCAATGGAATTAGAAGTTTTTCAGGGAAATAGAAACTTACTGGACACAACTAAATTCCTTTCCTGTAAGCATATACAAAAAATGTAAACATTTTATAGTAATCATCCATCACATTCCTGACACCTAAACTCTATTAATTACGTCTTGGACTTCCTGTCCTATCGTCTACCTGCTCAACTAGAACTGGCACAAATTTTAGCTCACCTCTTCTAACCTAGTCCCCCTTGCCCGATCCGAGCACAAACTCGCGGCAGCCAATGTTGTACACTCACTCTAGTCAGCTAATGTCCATCTGCTCTAACACCCTTAACGTCTGTACCCGCCCCCACACTCTAGGTGATGTGCATATGCCTTACTCATCCCATTCCAAAAGTAACAAAGCGCCTCAAAGACACAGTCTCTTGCTCTTTGAGGGTCTGAGCACATGATGTTTTATACTGAGTATTTTGTACTTACTTGCCATGTTTTACACAGACATCAAAGGCTTGGAGAAGACAGTTTAGTGTGTGATATTTAGTCTCGAATGCCTCTTGAGTTTGTCATGTCCCTCTGCACACAGTAATGTGCTCCACATAGTACTAAGTCTAATATCTATATATATTAGATTATTATATATATGTATATATATGCATACATATATATGTATGAAGTCCTGGGAATCTACCACCTATGCAAAATTTGATTTAATTCAACAGCGAAGCCATCTTGGAAAAAAAGAGGGGAGAGGTATTTGGCCAAAGTACTGCTCTGCTGTGAAAATGTCCACACACCCTCCGCTAGGTCTGCAATGAGGACTATACTAGTTATCAGTACAAGCTGCCAAACTTCCTGTCCTTTCCTGTGTTCTAAACCTTGTTACATGGTCTCGAAACCGTCAAATCATTTGCTGTACATTGTTGGGTGGTGGTGGTGCACAACTTTAATCTCAACACTCGGGAGGCAGAGGCAGGTGGATCTCTGAATTTGAGGCCAGCCTGGTCTACAAGCAAGTTCCAGGGCTACACAGAGAAACAACCCCACCAAAAAAAAGGTCATTTGCTGTACAGTCAGTCACTTTGACCCCAGTGATTTTCCAGAGATTCTCTAGGTTCTCTGGCAGAATCACAGCATTAAACAAGGACATGTATGTAGGTGCTGCATTATGTAGACAGTTCCAGGAAGCAGCAGTGAGAAACAGTGTAGCAGGAAAGAAGAAGAGACAACACAGGGCATGTTGGGAAGATGGGTACACTGTGGGCACAGAGGCTGTGCTCTCAGGACCTTCCCTAGGAAGGACAGAGGAGCCATCACTCATCAATAACTGTCCAGTTGGTGAGGGATGGGTAGAGAGGTCTGCTCCTGGCTGCCAAAACTCTTCCCCCACTGTGGAGAAGCTGCCAGCATGGTTAATCTTACAAATGTGCCCCACAGCTGTCCCTGAAGGACAAAAAAAAAAAAAAAAAGCGAATTTCCATAGGATGCTGCCCCAGGAAAGCAGCTATCTCATGAAGCTCTACTCTATCATCCATTCACAGAACATTGAGTGTTCTTTAACACACCTAAAGACTCAGTACAGCATCTTGTTTATACACCCATCATGGACATGCAGGCTACTTTCATATTTTAGCTATCAGAAAGCCTGCTATGAACATTTGTGTATAAATACATGTGTAAGCACAAGATCATTGATTTGTACCTATTCCTTTCTAAGAATGTACTTAAAGATAATACTGTCCACTAACCTCTGCTATATCCTACATGTTTTGCTCCATTTTTAAAAATGACCACCATTCAGTAGGAAGTATCTTTCCTTTGCTTATTGCTTATCTAGAAATGCATTGTTTCATTACAGTATACTTCAGGACTATACGGTCATTCTCATTACTGATCCTTCACCCTAGTGAGAAAACAGATTTGATGGCTTAAGATCTTGTGAATGTAGAGTTTGCTTTGTGTCCTGGGAGCTGCTATTTGTTGGGTGGAGTCTTCTCTAACATAGGCTGGATCAGCGTGGTCAGGCAATGCTGTCATTGGGAGCGTACTCTGTTTCTGGGGACTCAGGCATATTAATGACAGAGGAACACTGAGATCTCCTCCTCTTCTACTTCCCCCTTTCACTCCCGCCAGTTTTCTCTCATGTATCATGAAGCTGTTCTGTTAAAATTCACAGACCTTAGGATTATCCCAGTTACCTGGATGGAGCTGATTAAAAACTTCCCTGTCCCAAAGTTCACTTTGTCTCATATTAACACACACACCCCAGTTTGCTTTCACCTGAATTGTCCTCCACACTGCTTTGAGGTCCCTTCCATGTGTGCTCATGTAAGCTGTGCGGACTGTGAACGACACATCACGTTCTTTAGGATGCTCTACTTTTATCAAATTTGACAATCTTAGTCTTCTAACCGCAGTATTTATGCCGTTGACATACAATGCAATCACTAATGTGGCTGAGTTTAACTGCGCTGTCTTCCTCCAGCGTCATCTCAGAATTCTCTCTTCCCTAGTCTCTCTCTGGCTCTGACTTACTTTCACTTTCAGTTTCAGGATCTCGGCTTGTTCCTCCTGGTACAGCTCCTGCCGAACCTGCTCCAGGTCCTCACGCTGCCGCAGCATTTCCTCCAACCTTTGGATCAGCTGTTAAGAAAACACATGTTAGCCAGCGGTGGTGGCACACGCCTTTAATCCCAGCACTCGGGAGGCAGAGCCAGGTGAATCTCTGTGAGTTCGAGGCCAGCCTGGGCTACAGAGCGAGATCCAGGACAGGCACCAAAACTACACAGAGAAACCCTGTCTCAAAAAACCAAAAAACCAAAAAAAAAAAAAAAAAAAAGAAAAAGAAAACACATATTTAGGAAACCTGAATCAGGCAACCGCTTCAGGAGCTCTGCATTCTTTAAAAAGTCGTTCTTTTCATACCAAAGCCTGACGCTGGGCCCTCTTCTCCTCACTCTGCTGAACTCTGGCCAGCCGCTCGCCCTCTCTCTGCTGCTGAATGTTGGCAAACTCTAAGATTTTCCTGTTTTCTTCCTCCATCTCCTCACGCTTCCTTTGTCTCCAGAGGGCTTGCTCCCTCTGGAACTCTTCATTATACTTCTGAATTGCATTCCTTTTTTCTAACTTTTGCTGTCTTTCCCTAAAAAGCAATCAGGGGGATGGTTTCATGGTTACAGAAATAAAACAACAAAACATAAACAGACTGCTTTCGAGTCACTAATGCAGCACACTTTCTGGGTATCAGGTATGGACTTTCCATGAATACTACCCGGCCTCTCTCCTAATGGTGACATTTAAAACATCTCACTTCAGAAAGGTGGCACTCTGTCCACAGAAGCCACCCAGTACTCCGCACTCAAGCTGTGTGACAAGGAAAGGCATCAGAAAACACGTGTTCTGACATATAAGACGTACAGATTTAAGAAAAACAAAGGTTTCGGTCATTTACCACTTACACCTGGTCTATTACTTTCCAGATCGTCTTTTAATACCCATGCTGACAGAGATGAGGAATGGCACAGCGCCCGCTGGCGAGCACACACACTGGGCAGGGCACCTCTGGGGTACACTTACACCTGGTCTTCCTCGTAGATCTTCCTGACAATTTCGTCAATCATGAGTTTCTCTTTGAGGAGCTGCTCATACGCCTCCTGCTTCCTCCTCTCCTGGTCTTCCAGCTGCTTCTCGAGGTCCAGGTTGTACTGGGCCTTCTCCTTGTCCCGCAGCTCTTGCTTGGCGCTCTCCTCCTTCAGGAGTCTCTCGTGCTCCTCCATCATGGTCCTGGCTATCTCAGCATCACGTTTCTAGTGTTAAAACAGCATTTATCTTCCCGCTTTCAGGAGTGAACAGTTTATTACAGCACTATAAACAGACACAGTTGCAAAGGACGAAACCTGTTATGTAAATATTTGTTATCTATTAGGTTAAAAGCAAGAGGAAGCCTTTGTGACCTGGAGGGTGTGAGTGATGAGTCAGACGTTGAAGGGGTGTTCCTAATCTTTGCAGAAACTCTTAGGGTAACACCTGGCAAGGATAATAAAGTCCACGTTCAGAAAATACGGAGTAAAGCTGTAAGTATTCTATTAGTAACTACTTCGGCCGCCGAGCCCCTGCCTCCTCTGTAAGCTGATCTAGGCAGTCTCGGTGACTAATGGCACTGTTCACCAGCTGCCGTGGAACACCCCTCCTGCCCAGCTGCTGTTCAAGGGCTCTGAAGAACTCTCAAGTTCCCCCAGCTGAAGCTCCTTCCTGCCACACATCCTTCTCTGTTATTTATTAAGGCTCAGTGTGGGGATTTCAACTGCAAAGGTCACCTACGTCCCTGTGACTGTTCTCTTCATTGTCACTCACACGGTTCCACTCCCACTGAGTTACAGACAAGCCTTTCTTTTCTGCAGCATTTCCAAACCGCCTAATTCATAACTTTAGACATACTGGAGTAATGACTCAAACTACCCTTTGTGTGACCACATCCCAAATGCAGGGACAGTCAGCAGCACAGAGAAAGAGGGAGCAGACTGGAAAACAAATGCGGTAATTCCTAAAGTAGCTGGCGGGCATCATGCATGTTAAGTTATCATGACTTAAACACAGGTTCTCTTGTCTTTGCTCATGCGGCGTTACATTCTTTTAGAATATGTAAGACAGCAAAAAATATATATGACAACAAAAATGTATATAGATTACCACAGACTTAAAGAAACACTGTGCTCTAACTTTACAGATAAGAACACTAGCTAGGGCTGGGGAGATGGCTCAGTCCAGGAAGAGCACTTACTGCTCTTCACGTGAGCTGGGTTCGGTTCCCAGCACCCCCAGTAGGCAGCTCACAACCACTTGCAACTCCAACTCTAGGAACCCAATTCCCTCTTCTGGCCACCATGGGCACTGCATGCATACAGTGCATGTAGACAAGCAAACACACACACACACATAAATAAAAATAAAAATAAAAAAAGACCTAACAAGTATACAGATCTTCCATTTGTCAAGTCCTAGGAGTATATGACTCTAATTTTGTGAGTCAATTTTGGTGTAGAAGATAGTAGCAATTTTGGAAATCAAATATCTACAATGGCTATGCATGACCTCATCTATCAGAGTAATTAAAACTACAAACAACTGAACAAACTGTACATAATGTTCTATTTTATCATTGAAAAAAAAAAAGATACAGCTCACATACAGGTCTCCACATTTTCCTCAGGTTGTCATGGTTAGCAGCATGGTCTAGAAGAGTAGTTCTCAACCTGTGGGTCTTGACCCCTCTGGGTTGAATGACCCTTTCACAGGGGTCACACACCAGATATCCTGCATATCAGATATTTACATTATGATTCATAACAGGAGCAAAATTACAGTTATGAAGTAGCAATGAAATAATGTTATGGTTGGGGGTCACAGACACTTCAAGGTTAGCCCTTAAGCCTTCTGCTTGAGAAGGATTACTCTTTTCTAATTTAATCTTCCTGTACATTATTTATTTACTTTAATTTGTGGGAGGCCTTTCCTTCCACCCTGTAGATCTGAGATCAAACCCTGCTACACCATGAGGAACTGTATTAAAGGGTCGCAGCATTAGGAAGGTTGAGAACCACGGTTCTAGAATCTTCTAAAGTAGCCTTTTTTAGGAGTTCTCATGCTGCACCACACTGGTTTAAATATTGTGTTATCACACCTATAATCCTATGTGTATAAACATGTTTGCTGGTAGTCACAATCCACATGTATAAACATATGTAATTGTCTGGCCCCTCTGTGAAAATGAGCTCAGGTGATACCATGTACCTTGGTTTTATGTGTTAACTCAGCAAGTCTTATTTTCATACTGCATGACATGGCTGCTGGAATACTCCTGAGACTTGCTCTCCTGGGAACAACCTTGCCTTCAAGAGGTGGACAAGGATGAAAACAGAAAACCAGGAAAACAAGGTTACCTCAGAAAACAAGAGTTAGAATGGGGGCTGGAAACAGAGGCCTGGGGAAAGGAGAGGCTTCTAAAACCACCAAGCTATCAATACTCAAGGATAAAAAGTGGAAAAACATAGTCACCACATTTTAGGAGCCAGCTGTACTGTGTTAGCTTGTCACGGTAAAAGTTCAAGAACACAGTCAGTGTGGGAGCTACCTGGGCCTGAGGGTTCCAGCGTTCAGGCAAGCTCAGCTCGGGGACATCACCAAGAGTCTGAACATTACAATTTGGGGACCCTGGCAATGCTGGCTGAGCAGGTTCTTCACAGGGCACTGCTCTCACAACCTGGCCTGGGTACAAAGCTAAAAACGACTGCACAGCCGGGCGGTGGTGGCGCACGCCTTTAATCCCAGCACTCGGGAGGCAGAGCCAGGCGGATCTCTGTGAGTTCGAGGCCAGCCTGGGCTACCAAGTGAGTTCCAGGAAAGGCGCAAAGCTACACAGAGAAACCCTGTCTCGAAAAACCAAAAAAAAAAAAAAAAAACGACTGCACAGAAACCCGAAGCAGCTTTACCATTTGCTCGTATTTGATGGCGTCCCTCTCGGCAATCTGGGCAGCTCTCTCTTTATTCATGTAAGCGGCTTTCAATTTCTGCTCCAATTCTCTGAGTTCCAAACTGTGGGGAAAATGCAACTTTAAACTTGAAGATAATAAAAGAATTCAGCTTCACAGATAATTTGGTGAGTTCTTATTTACTCAAAGCATACAACTAGTATCACTCAAGTCCCCAGTTAACTCATCACATTTAACAGACACTTCAAGGTTAGCCCTTAAGCCTTCTGCTTGAGAAGGATTACTCTTTTCTAATTTAATCTTCCTGTACATGTATTTATTTACTTTAATTTGTGGGAGGCCTTTCCTTCCACCCTGTAGATCTGAGATCAAACCCAGGCCTTTCCTCCCACCCTGTAGATCTGAGATCAAACCCAGGCCTGAAAGCTTGGCAGTAGGTTAGTATTAAACTACCTTCGCTACCACATTTTATTCCATCCTAGAGAAGTAGACTCCATCTTTATCTCCAGCTCTGGTGCCCCTAAATCTTGACTTAATTTAATCTTAAGTAGCATTGAGAAATGTATTATAGGGCGAGGAGCGGTGGCAATTTCCCTAGAACCCAGAACTTGGGAAACAAAAGCAGGTGGATCTCTGAGTTTGAGGCTAGCCTGCTCTACACAGGGTGTTCCAAGCCATCTAGGGCAAAACAGTGAGACCCCATCTAAAACAAAAACAACAACAAAAGCCAAGTAAGTCAGGATTTCTGTAATTAGAACTATCATTTTAAAGGTCACCCTTAAGGAAAAGGCCGAAGGGACTGATACTGAGTTTTCCCATCAACACTCACATTTACTTCTATTAATGCAGCTGAGTTTCTCAACTACTCATGGGTTGAGGCTATGACTCAGGCTATGACTGAGCACTTGTCTAGCACAGGAAGGCTCTGGGTTCAATACCCGGCACCACAACAAACAAAAGTCGTTGCAACGAGCGTCTGTAAGTTAGTGTGGTATTTCCAGGAAAAACATGAACTCTAAGGGCAATGATCTAATGAGGAGTCTCCCTTTCCGGGGCTAAGGGCGACCCAAGGCGCAGTGACGGACAGGACAAGCGCAAGGGGCGGAAACCACGACACCTGTTCTCTCTCACTTGCTGTCTCATCTTCTCGTCCTTCAGGCTTTCGTGCTTCAGTCTGGCCAGCTCGTTTGCAAGTCTCTCTTCCTGTTCAAGCTGCTGCTCCTTCAACATCTTGTTCTCTTCCGCCTGGACAGAGAAGTGCATGGTTAGTCACCTACATCCTCAGCTCAGACTTCTCACTGTCAAAGCGGCCTGTGCTTCAGAACAGCAAGCTAAGCGCCCTGACGGCAACAGTCAACTGTGTACTTTAAACAAAAAATATTTCAACAAGTAACATTTCAAGTACGTTACCATAGAAAAAATTAGATATTACCAATAGTGTGAGGAATATTAATGTACCTATATATTCATTCTTTTCTAAATTTACCAATATTTCACAATTCTTTCTCTACTCTCAAATTTCATTCAAATTGTCTTATTCTCTCGTTATCTCTGCCACAGTATTTTAAATCAAATCCCAGGAGGCTGGAGAGATGCTCAGAGGTTAAGGGCTCTGGCTGCTCTTGCAGAGGACCCAAGTTTGGTTCCCAGCACCCACATGATGGCTCCCAACCCTCTGTTCCAGAGGTTCTGAAGCCCTCTTCTGACTTCCTTGGTGCCAGACATGCACAGTGCACACATTCACATAAAAATAAATACAGCTTTAAAAAACACAAATAAGACATAGCCTCGGCCACTCTGCCCACTGTGGAAACAGCTCCGTGTGGAGCTACCCGACAAGAATTTCTTTTTCATGACCACACCACAAATTAGCAGTATTTCCTGAGTGAGGTCTAAGGCCTTGCCCACATTCATTCCCCAACTATCTCAAAGATGCTTTTGTCAAAACCAAACAAGGTCCACACATTGTATCTAACTGTCTTTCTCAGTCTCCTTTATTTTACAGATTGGTCACACTCCCACCCCCTCACACCCCTACACCCCCCCCCACACCCCTACACCCCCCCACATACACTTTTTATCCCCTAAGTCAATGATCTGTAGTAATTACAGCCTGTCTAAGTTAGGGTTTCCATTGCTGTGATAAAACACATGACCAAAAGCAACTTGGGAAGGAGAAGATTTATTTCAGCTTACAGTTCCACATTATAGTCCATAATGAGCAGGAACGTGGAGGCAGGAGCTGATGCAGAAGACAAGAAAGGATGCTTCTTAGTGGCTTGCTCCTCATGGCTTGCTCAGCCTGCTTTCTCACAGAATCTAGGATGACCAGCCCATGGGTGATACTGACCACAGTGAGCTGGATCCACCCACATCAACCATTAATCAAGAAAATGGGTCCACAGGCCGGTCTGGCCACTTCCTCAATTGGGATTCTCTCTTCCTAAATAACTCTAGCTTGTGTCAAACTAACATAAAACTACCCTATTGTGTCTCCTGTGTTCTCTGGTTCTCTCTCAGGCCTTCCCTGCACTGGCCTCTCTTATGTGGTCTGTAAAATGGCGGGCAGATATGGAGGCCTCATTGCTTTCTGAGTTAGGAAGCACATGGTGATGCAGGCCTGTGACCTAGAACTCAGGAGGTCAAGGCAAGAACACCACCAAACATCCAAGCCTAGCTTGCTCTCAGACTGAGTTCCAGGCCAGGGCTACATATCAAGACTGTCTCAAAAGTAAATAAACCAACAAACAAAACAAAAATAACAATGAAAAATCATTAGCCGTCAAGAAATGCAGATTAGGAATTGAAGAGATGGACCTGAGTTTGGTTCCCAGCACCCACCTCAGGTGGCTCCCCATTACCTGTTACTCCAGATCCAAGAGATACAATGTCTCTGGTCTCTGAGGGTACCTGCATTCCCATGAATGTATCTACACATCTACACACAATTAAAAATAATAAAAACAAACATTTTATAAAGCAAATTAAAATTACACTGGGATATCACAGCATACATACTGGAACATCCATTTAAAACACACACACACACATTAAAAAAACAAAAACCAGTGGTGCTAGCACATGGAGAGAAACTGTACCGTGCACACGTTTCTGGGTGAGAATGTCAACCAGCAGAGGCACTCTGGAAATAAGTCTGGTGCTCTGTCATAAAGCTGACATACAATTACCACAGAATAAAACAAGTACATTCTTAAGTACTTGTCTCAGGAAAAGGAGACACATTTACTTAAAAATCTGTATTTAAATATTTACGGCAAATTTATTCATAATGTCCAGTATTGGAAATTCCTCATAAGGTGAGGGTCAAGTACATTGTGGTACATCCACACTACAGAACACTACTTGGCAATAAAAGGAAATAAGCCATAAAATAAATAATAAAATATATATAAAATACAATACTGGACACATAGCACACTTAATAAATACTCAAAACTTAATAAAATATGAGGACACTCTTTTCATACTTACGAGAATCCACCTATCACTTCCCATCTGTTTCCTCTACTGCAATCTCCTAAAAATATTTAGAAACACTCACAATAGATTTAGCCAGTAGATCAGGACATGTATATGGTGCCTGAATTCTTCAAAAATTAAAAATATGAATAAATGCATACCTTATACACATGTTCATCTCCTAATGTTTAATAATGTCTATGTTTAATGTCAGGAATTTTTAAAAAGGAATTCTTAAATTTCTTATTAGAAACTTATAGAAGGCAACAGTTGTACTCACATAAACAAAATTGTGACGTTAACAATTATGGATTTCATATTTATGTTCAATATCAAGAATGCTTATATGCTCTTGCCACACACTGTTCTAAAGTTCACATTTGCTCATTATTAAAGCAATCCTAGGCAGGGAGTACCATTATTGGATTTTATAGATAAAGCATAAAACTGACCGACCAACGGACCCCAAGTTCTTCAGCTGAAATAACCACGACTCAGAAGGATTCAGTCAGCTCCCAGCTTTCTCAGTTTCCTCAACACCAGGACTGGCAGTCTTCTTCCAAATTTTCCAAATGAAGGAAATTGAACAACGAACCCTGACACTTACTTTTTGGATGGCTTCTTCCATGTCCAGCTCAAACTGCTCATTCTGCAGCAACCTGAGGAGTCTCTTCCGTTCGACCCGCTCATCGTTTTCATTTTGCACGACCTGGTTCCTGGCTTGCCTCTCTAACTTATCCAAGATTTGGATATGCAACGATTTGCGGAAGTTTTCATCTACTAACTTCTGGTGCCGCTCACTAAAGCTCAGAGTTCTATTTTTGGGGTCCTATGATGAGGGGGAAGGGAAATACACATATTTCAATATTCCATGATCCCTTTTTCCAAAAGATACTGCTGAAAATCCCTGTAACAAATGATGTAAAAATAGGCAACAGTCTGAGGGGTCTTCGGCCCCCTTCCTGAATTCATAGTACACCAGATGGAAGTTCAAACGTGATAGGGTAACATAATGACGTACTGATTAAATGGGTATTAATAATATTCCCTGTTTTGTAGGCGAAGCAGCAAAAGTTGAAGTAACTTAACTCAAAATTGAACAGTGCCAGTGAGAACAAATAATGTCGAGCCCTCCAGCTGCAGCTTTACCTCCACTCAGAGAGTTTCCCCGAAAAAAAAGCAGATTTTAAGATGTATCTATATCGGTGGGAGGGGAAAAACGTGCAGAAACGCCTGGAGAGTCCCTCAGAAAACAACCCAGAACCTTCCAGAAAGCAACTCAAAGCCTCTCACTGACCTCTCGGATTGCGCACTTTGAACTATATTTCAGAGGTAGCGAGCTCTAGACTGTAAATAAAGATGCAGTTGGGAGGTCCCCAGTCCCTGCCCCGGCCGGCCTCCAAGCTGCTCACCATCGTTAGCTGACTTTAAACCTCCTCCAGAAGGGCGTCTCCTGCCTCAACTGCAAAGGCGTCTTCCCGAGCAGCCGCCGCCTCCGCACAGTGTTTACACTGTGTCCCGGCAACCGCCAGAGCGCGCCGCCCGCCCAAGCGGGAGCCAGCCGCCCATTGGCTGGCTCACTACCCAATCAGCTCGGGGAATCTTCGTTGCCAGGCAGGGGCCTCCTTCTATAGGCCCAAACCAGAAGGCGCGAAGTTCGGTCGCTGAGCCCTAGCAGGATCCGTTTACATCCAAGGGGAGTTAATTTCCGCCATCTGGAGCCCAGGGAGGGACGGACACACACACACACACACACACACACACACACACACACACACACACACACACACACACACACACACACACACACACACACACACACACACACACACACACACACCAACACACACACACACACACACACACACACACACACCCCCAACACACACACACACACACACACACACACACACACACACACACACACCCCAACACACACACACACACACACACACACACACACACACCCCCCAAAACAAACAAACAAACAACTAACCCTCGGACTTCTCACTGCAATGGACTAAGGGAGTGAGTGTCCTCCCTCAAGTACCACATACACACACACACACACACACACACACACACACACACACACACACACCAAAACAAACAAACAACTAACCCTCGGACTTCTCACTGCAATGGACTAAGGGAGTGAGTGTCCTCCCTCAAGTATCCCCAGGTCCTGGCGAGCTGCCCAACGCAGGTGCTGGGCCCTGAACTCAGGTCCTCTGGAAGAGCAGCAAAGGCTCTTGAGCACTGAGCCATCACTCCAGTCCTGATAAACTCATTTTAGAGATGATATATTTTGAGGATTCAGAGACACGGATGAGACCTGTTTACTTACCTAGAGCAGAAGCCACTGGATAGCTAGGGGAGCAAGAGGAAACACATGGTGATTTTGAGGAACTGCAAGAGACCAGTGTGAGGATGGAGAGCATGGCCTAAAAGCAGGGCAGGTTTGGCTGCCCCCTTGCAGTCCCAGTACTCTGGGAGGCCGAGACAAATGTCCCCTCAAGCAGGCTGGCTAGCTACCTTTTTATACAGCCCAGACCCACCTGCCTAGGGATGGCACCACCCACTGTGGGCTGGGCAAGTCTACATCAGTCAAGAAAATGTCCTACAGACCAATCTGATGGTGGCAATTCCTCAACTGAGACTCCCTCCTCCCAGGTGTATCAAGTTGACAACCAAGAGAGGCTATCACGAGTGACTAGAATATATTGTATAAAATTAAAAAAAAAAAGATTGGCCACCATTATCATATATATAAAACTGACTGTGGGGCACATACAATGCAAAATGTTTTTGAACTCAGGATGCAACTAAATGCCTTGCGATTCTACCAAAAAAAATGTGGCTTAAGTATAAGTAATTTTAAATTTTAACTAATATACACAAACAAAAAGTTGTGTGTGTTATGGAATATCATGTAATGTCCTGACGCAGGGATGGATTACATAATTTTGTTTGTTTGCTTTTTTGTTTTTTGAGACAAGATTTCTGTGTGTAGCTTTGGCGCCTGTCCTGGATCTCGCTCTGTAGACCAGGCTGGCCTCAAACTCACAGAGATGCACCTGGCTCTGCCTCCTGAGTGCTGGGATCAAAGGTGTACACCACCACTGCCCAGCTACATTGCATAATTTTAGATCAGTTAATATACATCAAACATTATTTCTTCAGGGTGAAACTAAAAATATTATCTCTGCCTTTTGTAATGCACAGCACGATACTGTTGTAACCCATTTGCTGTATTTCTGACTGTCTTAGTAACAGCTGTCCAGACTTTCCCCATGTCTCCCTGCCCTTATTCCCCTCAGCCTCTGTTTTCACTTATCCACTTACAATCTATGAGAGCAGCACTTTTTAAGACTATGTGTTCACACAATCATGCATTATCTTCTTTTTGTCTTGATAAGAATTTTTTGAGATTTGATTTGATTTGATGTGCACGGGGGGGTTTCCCTGCATGTGTGTCTGTGCACCACTTGTGTGCCTGATGCCCACCGAGACCAGAGAACGGTATCAGCTCCCCTGGAACTGGAGTGAGAAATGGTTACTGGAGCTGCCGTGTGGGTGCTGGGCACCAGACCCAGGTCCTCTGCAAGAGCAGGCAGCGCTCTAAACCACGGAGCCGTCTCTCCAGCGCCACTGCAGTCACGCAGCATCTGTGTCGAGCAGATATTGCAGCTGACCTCTCCAGTTCCCTCCACACTGCCACCAATGACAAGGCTTCGCTCTTCTCTATGACTTGCCCATCTATTGGTTGATGGACACAGGTTGTTACCACGACATGTGAGTTCAGAGGCTCTTCAGCATACTGATTCCATTTCCTTTGGCTATGTACCTCCTAGGGATGTGGTTAGATCAGACAGTGGTTCTACTTTTGACTTTGGGGAAACCTCGATACTGTCTGTATTCTATAGTGGCCATACTAATTCACATTCCCATCAACAGTGTACAAATGTCCCCCTTTCTCTGTGCTCTCAACAATGTTTATTACCTTTCGTCTTTTTGAAAACCATTCTTGCTGTGGGGAAGTGACATCTTCTCATTGCTGGTTTAACTTGCATGCCCTGGATCATTAATCAGTAGTGATTCCACATTGGCCTCTTTTATGGCTTTGGTGTTAGAAATGTCTATTTAGACCCATTGCCTTTACTTAAAAAAAAACAGGTTTTGTGTGAATGTGCTATTGATTTTGAGTTCTGTATTAGCCAAGTTTTGTTCTGTTGCTGTGATAAAACACTCTGACCCAAAGCAGCCTGGGGAGGAAAAGGACTTTTTGGCTTACTCGTTGCAGTCAGTCATCTAGGAAAGTTAAGGCTGGAACTCAGGCATGAAGGCAGACACTGAAGCGGAGACCGTGGAGGACTGCCGCTTTCTGGCTTGCTTATCTACTTGTGTTACACATCCCAGGCCCACTTGCCTAGGGATGGTCCCACAGACATGCCCGCAGGCCAGTATGACAGATGCAATTGAGAGCTCCCATCCCAAGTAGCTCTAGTTTGTCAAGTGGAAAAAAACTAAGGACCATGCTTGTATATTCTAGATGTCACCCCCTTGTCAGATGCATAACTGTGAACACTTCCCACTGTAACACATGTTCTGCGGGTTGTAGCTGTATTCTGATTCTGTTCATTATTTCCTTTGCGGGTCAGAAACCTCGTGGTTTGACATAAGCCTTGTGTCCGCTTTTGTTTTGGTTTCCTACATATAAGGGTAATCACGTGGTATTTCCCCCTTAATTCTTTTTTTTTTTTCTCCTGGTAGCACCATAGTTTCAGGCACATGTGGATCTTTAACCCGGTTTCAGTTGAGTTTCAAGCTGGTGAGTGATGGCAGTCTAGTCACGTTCCTCTGCACATGACATCCGGTTTCCCCAGCACCCCCTACTGAAAAGACTGCCCTTCTCTCAGTGGATTCTGGGGGTTCTCATGGTGAGCAGCAGTGAGCGGCCTGCAGATGGTGGGTTTACTTCAGGCTTTCTATTCTGTCGCACCGGTCAGTGAAGCCGTGTTGAGTGACATTTCCACGCTGTTTGATTACAGCAGCATTTTAACAGGTTTGGGGAGCCGGGCATACAATGCCTCCTGCTTTCTTCATCGTGTTCCTCATGAGTTTGACTTGTACAACTTCCCATAAAGCAGCTTCTCATTAAAACGCATTCACTGGCCTGTCACCGGCCAACGCTCTCTTCAACCTTGACATATTCCAGTCATTTAAAGCAGTTCCCAGCATTCATCAGACTTAAGTATTGGCTCGGTGAACAGATGGTTGAGGTGAGGTTGCTGTTGTGCATGTAGAGACAGTGCTACCTAGAAATCGCTTTTCAGAGGGATTAGTCTTCACTAGCCCAGTGGGAATTATAACATTGATTTTTATCTCTCTTTTCTGAAGACAAACTTTTTGTTTCATTTTTCTACCTCGGTTCTCCTGGTTTCTGCTTTATCATCAGTATTTCTTTCCTTCTGTTTTCTTTGGGTGTAGCTTTATTTTTCCAGTTTCTTAATGCAAAGGCTTAAATATTTGAGGCCATTTATTTTAAGTACAAGCAAATATTATTTTCTCTAAGCTTTAGCTACCTCTCATATAGA